CCCTGTTGTCTTTCCATGAGTCTAGAGTCCTCAGCTGCTCTCTCTCTCTCTCCATGTCCTCATCTCTGCCTCCATCTCTGGTGTTGCTGCTTCTCTGGATAGGGTCCCACGTTCCACTCATGCTCTTCTCCCTTGATGGTCCTCTGCTCCTAGATTGTAAGATTAACTACTCCCCCTTTTATGTTACAAAGTTCTACCTTTACAGTTGGCTGACACATTCTCTGGGTTACGTATGTCTGGGTCTTCAGTCGGTAGTTCTCAAGTCTGGTAGAGCCCTGGACCAGTACATCAGCATCAGCTGGGAATTAAAATATCCTGGTTCTCAGGCCCACCGCAGAACTGTTGGGTAAGGCATAGCAATCCATGATTTAATAAGCTTTCAGTTACTGTGATGCCCACTAAAGTGTGAGGATCACTGCCTGAAGACTGTCTCTAAGGTCCTATAGCTCTAACATCTCACAAATACTTGTACTGACTGCAACAGGCTTCCAGGATATTGGTGCCCAGTATCCAACATTTTATCCTTCCTATCCAACTCCTGGTGTGGCGCAGTGGGTTAATGTGCCAGACTGCAAAGCTGTTTGAACTGTAAGGTCGGCAGTTCAAAATAGGCTGCAAACACCCTATACAGGGTCACTATGGGTCCAAATTGACTTGACATCACTTAACAACAACAACATCCAACTCTGGTGTGGCACTGTGAGCTAATGCGCTGGACTGCAAAGTCGGTTTGACCCTCAAGGTCAGCAGTTCAAGCTCACCTGTCGCACCTTGGAAACCCTATACAGGATTGCTGTGGGTTGGAACTGACTCGATGGCACTCAACAACAACAACAAAAATCCAACTCTGGGTGGAGAGAGGAGGGATAACATGCTGAATACTGGGCTCCAATGTCCTGGAAGCTTTGTGGCAGTGAGTACAAACATTTGTGAGATGTTAGAGCTATAGGACCAACTCTGGGGAGTATTTGTGTGGTGCTGCGGGTTAATGCACTGGGTTGTAGAGTCGATTTAAACCACAAGGTTAGCGGTTCAAGTTCACCAGCTGCTCCTCGGATACGCTATAGAGGGTATGTCTCTATGGGTCAGAATCAACTCGACGGCACTTAACAACAACAACAATCCAACTCTGCAGTTCTAACATGGCTCTGTAGGATAAGTCCTGGACTGCTAACTACAAGCTCATCAATTCAAACCCACCAGCTGCTCCTTGGAAACCCTCTACAGAGTCACTATGTTGGAACCGACTCAGCGGCACTTAACTATCCAGCTCTGTTGGTTTAAATGTTCTGTTTTAATATTTTATTGAATTAATATATCTACTATTTTAAGTTTCCTCAAATGCTTTTTGGAAGAGTCAGGGTATTAATCATACATGTTGAATGAACAGTAAATATGTTTTTCACTATTTACCAGTTTTCTGATGGTTAGCAACTCAGGAATTATTCATCTTGTTTGTGGCCAAGAAGGTAAAAGAAGCCACCTCCAGATTTGATTTTGGCATTGACATAATGCTTGAGACAGATGGGTCAAGTTTAGCATGGAGTAGTTGGAGAGTTTCCCACCATGCTCTCTGTTGTCCTAGTTAATTTCATTCTCTGAGATGGCTCTGGCCGAATGGCCCCTTTAAGTCCAGCGCTGGTCCAGCGGGATGGGAAATTAGTGCTCTCTGCTCATGGAAACTTCTTTTTTGGCGCCTAATGGTTTCCAGAGCTATCAGAACAATGCTGTTTGCAGGCACTTTTCATGGTTGAAAAGAGCAACTTGAAGAGGCAAAGGAGGAGGACGCTGCAGGCCCTGGGAGAACTGTTTTATAGCTGGGCATTGCACGTCAGTGCTTACTGAATATGCCCTTTCAGTTGTGTAACTCACTGTTGGGGCTCACAGTGGAAGAGCCACTCCAGAAGTGAAGAGTATCTCACGCAGGCGTTGGCACTTTTAAACCAGCTCTTCTTTGTGGGCTGCAAGCAGCAACGTGTAGGACATTGTACTGCAGATCTGAAGTAAAGGTGAAGGTTGGTGGGCCGTCTGCTGCTCATTAGAGTGCCTGTCTGCCTCTTTTCCTGCGTTGTGAGCAGTAGATTGCTGACACCTGTTTTGCCATCCAGCCTGGGGAGGTGACGTGTGCATTAGGAATTCCTGAAACTGCTGCCTGGCATCCAAGTCTGTGGAGTTCGGTGGTGCTTGCAGGGAGGGAGGTTTAGTGCTGAGTGGGGAGATGAAAAAACTCAGCCGTGAGAAAATGCAATATAAATGGAATTGAGTCTCAGCGTCATTTAGGGGCTTCTGATTGTGCTTTTGAGTTCCCATTCCACGTGGCTTTGAAATACTTGGCCACCCATTGAGTGAAGTAGTAAAACGATGTGTCCTGTACATGTGAGGACCCCAATTTTATCTTTTCAAAGATAATTTATTTTTGCCATTGTTAAAAATATAGGCACAATTGCTGTTGTTGTTGTTGTTGTTAGGTGCTGTTGAGTCAGTTCCAACTTATAGCAACTCTATATGAGGGTTTCCAAGGAGTAGCTGGTAAGCTTGAACTGCTGGCTTTATGGTTCAAACCGACCTTGCAGTCTAGTGCATTAACCCATAGCACCACACCAGGACAATAGAGCACCCCAATCCTATGATTTCTACATGTACAATTCAATGACATTGATACATTCTTTAGGTCGTGTAACTGCCCTTAGCCTCCTTTTCTGGTTTGTTCCTGCCCCATTAACACAAACTGATTGTCCCTAAGCTTCCAACCTAACTTTCTGAATTGTTGTCAGTTTGGTCCCATATTGTAGTTGTTGTTAGGTGCCATCGAGTGGGCACCAACTCACAGCAACCCTATGCACAACAGAATGAAACACTGCCTGATCCTGGCCAACCTCACAATTGTTGTTATGTTTGAGCCCTTTGATGCTGCCACTTTGTCAATCCATCTCGTTGGGGGTCTTCTCTTTCTCCAACTCTCCACTTTACTAAATATGATAGCCTTCTCCAGTGACTGGTTCCTCCTGACAGTATGTCCCAAGTATGAAAGATGAAGTCTGGCCATTTTAGCTTCTGTACAACATTCTGGCTATACTTCTTCTAACACAGACCTGTTTATTTTTTTGGCAGTCCATATTACTTTCAGTATTCTCCTCCAACACCATAACTCAAATGCATCAATTGTACGTTCTTCCTTATTCACTATCCAACTTTTGCACGCATATGAGGTTATTGAAAATACCATGGCTTGTGTCATGCATGTCTTAGTTTTCAAACTGACATCTTTGCTCTTCAAGACTTTAAAGAGGTCTTTAAAGATCCCATGTAGATAGAGCTTTAAAAGGGCACAATGCTCAGGGCAGTATTACTTCTTGAATTAAATGAGTCTGAAGCTGACACTATGAACACATTAGCAATGGGACATAAATCAACACTTTAAACCAAGTTTCTCAACATTTGTTATTTGGCCTTAAATATAAAAAGTTTAACTGTGTTGGTGGTGTGATTCATTTTTTTTTAACAACTTACGCCCCTAGGTTTGCTCTTTTCATGTTTACCTTAAAAGAATTGGTATTGTTCAGTACTGTCTAGTCAATTCCAACCTGGAAATCCTGTACAGAGTTTTCTTTGCAGTTCAAACTCTATTGTTTATCCTAGAGTGCCATATTAGGACTCCACCGTCAATAAAGAACCTCATAAAATCTGGAACAGACAGTGGAGCAGAGGGTCTGGTGTGCCTGCTGTATGTAGTACATTTTGCCAGAAGATAACAAGAAGTTCAAGACAGGCCCCTACTTTTTCAAGTGCTAGCAGTCTTAGCTGAGGAGAAAAGGTACATACTTCGGAGCAGTGTAATGCTACAGAACGTCTGATAAGCATACACATGACCCAAAGAGTACATTTTCAGTGGGCTTGGAGAACAGAAAGAGAATTTTGAGTTGAGTGGGTCAAGGAGGACATGGCGCTTATTGTAGGAACTAAAGGCTACAGTCCTGGTTTGGTAGCACAGGATAAGTACTCGACCTTAAGGTCAGTTTCACCTGCAAGGTCAGTAGTTCAGAGTCACCAGCCACTCCTCACAAACCCTATACAAGGTTGCTGTGCATCGGAACCTACTCGATGGCACTGAGAGGCACTGGTGGCATAATAGGGCATGTGTTGGGCTGCTAAGCACAAGGTGAGCAGTTCGAATCCACCAACCACTCCATGAAAGAAAGATGAGGCTTTCTGTGTCCTTAAAGATTTTCAGCCTCAGAAACCCTGTACACGGTCACTGTGAGCCAGAACCGACTCAACACACAACCATAACTACAAAAGATGGGAAGCATTCATTGAGGGTGGGAATTGTGATTGACTGTGACACTTTTTCTCTACCATCAATAGGCTGTGGAATTAAAGGTTGTTTTGTTGTGTTTTCGCAGTTGCAACACTTTCCCTGACTCATCTGTGGAGCTCAGCCAGCTCTCTTGTGAACATTGGCTTCCATTTTTGAACTGTGGGTGAAAAGGGTTAGGGTTGGGTCATGGCCTTGGACCAGAGTAAAATTAACTGGCTCATAATGTGATTGAACTCGTGACCTTGGCCTCATTACTACTGCGTTTTAACCAGTGGAGTCAATCAAACATTGCAGAAAGGGTAATCAAGGTACCATTCGGAAAGAGATCTGTATAGCAGTGAACATAGGAAGGAAATCAAAGCCAGTTGCTTCCCACATGTAATACGAAGGCACTTATCTCTTAATCCTTGGGTTTATAATTTATCTCTTAATCCTTGGGTTTATAATTTATCTCTTAATCCTTGGATTTATATACTTGTTTTTGCACCTAGTAAATCTAAGGTGGGCAAAACAAAGGCTTCCTCGTGTTAGTATTTTTGACATAACAAAATGTGTGTTTCGTTTTCTTGCAGTCTCAGACTGTTTTTGCAGAGGGTGCCATAAGCACAATGGTATTGTTGTCGATTTTAGATGATGGTGCCCTGTAAGTGGATTAATGATACCTTTCTCTCCTCCTTTACAGTCCGAACAGCCCAGTCCTGCCAGTTCCAGCTCCAGTTCCAGCTCCAGCTTTACCCCGTCCCAGACCCGGCAACAAGGTACAAGGCAAACCCTTTATGAGACACTGTTCTCATAAAGCATGCTAAGGAGTTGATTTATAACCCAGTTTCTACAGTTTTATTATCTGAATGATAACTTGGCCTTTATGCAGTTGTATTGATTTCCCCTAGGAATGCACTTGAGAATTGTTCTGATGTATGAGGCCAAGCTCTAGAAATTCCCTTTTTTTCCAGGCCCTGCCATCAGATTCCCATTTTACAAAAGGATTATAGGCACAAGCCCATTCCAGGGAGTTCCCAAAGGAAATCCAGTGGCCAAACCTGGTCCTGTGAGGCTTTGACGTAGGGAAACAGATTTTCACTCTTGCATCTGGACTCATCCGTTTCATTTCATGTGTTTTCGCTACAAATTCATAGACTTCTTCCTTATCAAGTGTTAATTTACTGTCTTGAAAAGCTATTCTTTCTCTACTCATAAACAAGGTGTTACACAACCTTGGGATGAAGAAATTTACCCTGGAAACATTTTTTGTGGAAAATCTTCAAATGCTGGCTTTACTTTTTTAAAAAAAAAGAAACAAGGAGTAGGTTCATCTCAAAAAACAGCTTGTTTTTAAGCATCATATTGAACATCACATTTTTCACTGACCACACTAAATTCCTGATGGCCTTGTATGTATTAACAGGGTTATTGTGTGCATGTTTTGTAAGCTTCTAGGAAAAACAGTATGAAATAAAGACAGTGATCATTTTGACTATTTGGAGCCCCTTTCCTCTGACTTCCAAAGATATACACCCACTACAAAAGCAGAAATCTAGTTTGGCAGCATGCAAGTTTGCGGGGAGTTGGTAGTTATTTTAGTACTGAGCTGGTGATAGCTCAGATATTCCTATCTTACACCAGGCCGTGGGAATTGCCTCTTCTAGAGGGGAGGTACCTGTCTCACTGACTTGATTGCCTTTTCAGTGTCTTCTGTTAGGATTCGAAATGCCTGTCTTGACACCCTCCCCCACCCCACCCCCAATACACACACACACACACACACACACACACACACACCTCTTTTATTTATAGAAATAAAGTGAAACTACGGCACACTGAGTTTTTTTCTGTTTTCTCAGTTCTCACTGGGTCTCCCTCCTCCATGAAATTAGTTATGGTGTGCTTTTCTTCTCCCATTTAATATTGGCTTCTCCCTTGACTTTTCTGGGACCTGATGTATTAATGTTCTTATTTATGTAAATACATGCTGGTATTTTGCCAGGAATTTCTTAAAAAGTAAAATGGAAATTGGTTGTATAAAATTGGTATAATAAGACCTGGTTTCCAAGATCAATATGAAGATCAGCGGTAGGACATTACACCATGGAATTGAAATACCTTATAATCTGAACTTGACTGAAATGCTTGCTTGACCTGAAATTGACCTTGAAATAAAAGGAACAGCTAAACCTTAATAGATCAGAAACTACCACACAAAGGCTGCCTTGCCAAGAGCAGGTTACAACTGCAGTGATTTACTAATCTCAGCTTTTCAATACATGGATTAACCTAACAAAACATTCAATTTATTAATAGGTTTTTCTGTTTCTTTATAGGTTGATTTTGTTTAGGGAAGAAAAACACATAGGAAAAAAAATCCTAGAAAATAGAGTTTCTTTAATAAACATTTATGAGCTGTGGTACTGTAGGATAAACACTGGACTGCTAACCACAAGGTTGGTAGTTCAAACCCACCAGCCACTCCTCAGAAATCCTATGTAGGGTCACCGTGAGTTGAAACTTATATGACGGCACTTGAGAACAACATTGTAAAGCAGTGGTTGGCAGGAGTTACATTTCAAACACTACCAAATTTGATTTTATAATATACATACATATATGTGGAGTCCTGGTGTGGCGCTGTGGGTCAATGCGTCAGACTGCAAAGCCGTTTGAACTGCAAGGTTGGCTGTTCAAGCTCACCAGCTGCTCCTCAGAAACCCTAGACAGGGTCGCTATGGGTCGGAACCCACTCGACGGCACTTAACAACTATAAAATATATATATATATTTTGTTGTTGTTAAGTGCCGTCGAGTGGGTTCCGACCCATAGCGACCCTGTACAGGGTTTCCGAGGGTGTAAATCTT